AAAAAAAAAAATTCTTACTGCAGTACTCCAATTTCAGGTACCAAAATCTGTATTAATTTTCTAATGCTGTGTAACAAATTGCCACAACTTTAACAGCCTGTACCAAGACCTATTTATTATCTCTCAGTTTCTGTGGGTAAAGAATCTGGGCATGGCTTATCTGAGTTCCTTGCTTCAGAGTTTCACCAGGCCACAATCAACATGAACATATGGTTTTTCTTTTTCAGTCTGATCATATGGTGACTTACACTGATTAATTTTTGAATGCCAGCCCCACTTTTCATTCCAGGGATACACCCTACTCAGTCATGAAGTATTACTTTTTTACGTAATTGATGGCTTTGATTTGCTAATATTTGTTAAGGATTTTCCACCTATATCCATGACACATATTATTCTGAAGCTTCTTTTGTTGTAATTTCTTTGTCTAGTTTTGGTATCAGAGTAAAATCAACTTAATAAAATGAGTTGGAAAATGTTCTCTTTTATTTTCTATAACAGTTTTATAGAATTGGTATTATTTCTTCATTAAATATTAAATGATAGAATTTTTCAGCACAGCCATCTGGCCTGGAAATTATGTTATGAGAAAGTTTTAAATGACAGATTGAATTTCCTTAATAGCTATAGGGCTATTCTTACTACACGTTTCTTCGTGAGTAATCTTTAGGAGTTTGTGTTTTTCAGGAATTTGTACACTTCACATAAGTTTTCAAATTTATTGGCAGATCATTTTTCATAGAATTTTTTTATTGGCCTATTAATATCTATGAGTATAGGTTCTCTGGTGATGCTCTTTTATTCCTAATATTGGTAATTTGTGTCTTTATATTTTTGCTTGATCCATCTGACTAGAGATTTATTAATTTTATTGATATTTCCAAAACATCAGATTTTTGTTGCCTTGATTTTTCTACATTGCTTTTCTGTTATTTTCTTTGCCCTAAAAAATCTATAAAGTATTAGGTCATGAAACCCTGAAATATAAAAGTTACAGTTTTGAGTGTTACTATTTTAGTTTTTAGATGTGAATGTTATAGTACAGCCTGAATGCCTTAACTAAGTCATTGATGAAAATTACCATAATAAAATTGAAAGTAACTACTCAATGATAAAATCTAATGCCAATATTTATTTATAACCTACCATGTCTCAGGCTTTTACATACATTATTTCATTTTAATTTTCACAGCAACTTCATTATATAGATAAATATTACTATTACCTTTTTACAGACAGAAATGCATGAAGCCAGTACTTAAATTCCTGGGTTCCTTTTACTATATTTCACCATATCTGAAGAAGCATTTTTATTTGGTATAAATTAAAAGATACATTTTGATAATTTTGAAACATTCTTAATATTCAATAATGAGGGAATTGCTAATAAATTTAGGTACATCTATGGGTGGATGTGAAGGTATATGTAGTGTGACTATATTTCTCTGTTTGATCCTTGTTTACTCTTCTTGAGGTAGCGTATTTAATAATAGGTCTCTTTTAAATTTCAAAAGTGTTTAGCTTTTATTAAACTACTTAGTCACTCTCTACAGCAAAATTGAAAGATTATTATTAAGTAAAGGGAGAAATAATGATACAAGTTTGCAGTGATTTCACAATGGAAAATTAGAAAGAAATACATAAAATGGTAATCAAGGTTGTGTTAAGGAGGTGAAAGTATGAACAATACTTTTCTCTTTATTTTCCATATGTTCTGTAATACTGCTATATTAATTTTATAAGTTTAAGCTGTATAAATGAAAATGTTTAGATGTAAAATGCCTTTCCAGTTAAAGTAGAAGCTTTTACATTGGCTTCTTAATCACAGTGTTAAAATCGGTTCTTTCCTGTGGTTTAAATTGTTCTTTCTATTAAAGCTCAAAGGCTGGGGAACTCTGGGAAACAATATTAAACACATACCACAGAGTTGTCAAACACAATGGGTGAGGGAGCTGAGATATTTATATGCCTGTTAGTCATTAGTTGAGGACTGCTCCTGAGGGTCATTAACTCCCTGAAAAATGGCCCACTATGTGCACGAGCAAACCAGGCTCCAGCACCTAAGACAGCCTTCGAACAGGGAACAAGGGAATCAAATAGCTAATGCTAAAAGTCAGCAGTTGTTTCAGTGCTCACCAAAATGATAAAAGCAGAGAGATGTGGGTGGGGCACCAGTAGGAGAATGAGTGAAATAAATAAACATGTATTTCACTGAAGAGGAAACATGAATTTCTAATAAGCTTATGAAAAAAATCATAGCTTATCAGGGAAATGATAATATTACTATTTTATATCTATCAAATTGGCAAAAATTTAAAAAGCTAACAAAACCAAAGGTTAAGAAAGACATAGGAAAGAGAAGATCTCAGAAGCAATGCTGGTAATAGCGAAACAAAAAACTAGAAACAACTGTAATGTTCATTAGGAGAATTTTAAATGTATTGTGGTATATTTTTACAATGGAATACTATGCTATAATGACCAATCATTTACATCAAAATGAATGAATTTCAAATAACTAATGCTAATTTTTAAAAGTCTGAGGAAAACGTACACAGTGTGATTTGATTTATGTAATGTTCAAAAACATGCAAAACCACACAGCTTTTTTTAAGGAATTGTTGTAGTTAAAGTTCTTTGAAAAGGAGAAAAGTAAACATCATCCGAGAATCTGTGAGGCAAATAGGAAGGTGTAGTCAGAGAGGGTCACCCAGAGGGTTTCAAAAGTACTGGTTCTATTTTTTCATTCTATTGTGGAAACACATATATTATTTTGTGTATATAAAACATTTCATAACAGAAGATTGGGCAAAGGAAATCATGGAATGAAACAGATATAACGTCCCAGGAGTAAGAGGAGAAGGAGGGAAACTGTTGTACTAGAAGTAAAGAGAGAGAGAACAGTTAATGATGGCAACTGTTGCTAGGCAGTGTGGGATACAGGATGAAATGAAGCTAATGGAATTGGAACTTAAGAGGTCATCAGAGGCTTTGGTGAGTGCATTTTCAGTAATAGAGTTGGGGTAGATGCCAGAAAACAAGGGCTTGAGGAGTAGTAAAAAGCAAGGAGCATAGGCAGCTCTTTAAATAATTTTAGCAGTAAATACAAGGAGGGAGATAGGTAGTAATTTGAAGGAAAGACAACTTTGAAGACTATGTAGAAGTATTTTATAAAAGAACATAGTCAGAATTAGACCATAGATAGACGCATTAAAGATGCTTACACAGACGTTTACTTATAGGAAAAAATTCAGTATCCTTTAAGAAAATGTCTCCTGCAAAATCTTTAAATTACATCTTTCTTAGCAAAAAAGATTTAATATTTTAAATGATTATTTCATCTAATTTCTGAAATTTCCCCAAAGGATATTTTCTTAATTTTTCATGTCACTTATAGCCTTAATGATTCTACTTAATTATCTTTCCAGTGTTCTTGCTCATTTTTTAATAAACATGTGTTAGACCAATTTGAATCATAATGTGCATACATGTTGAGCCTGCATTAGAGAAATTATTAGGGGCTAGCATGTTAAGCTCGGTTGGTTACAGCATGGTGCTGATAACACCAAGGTTTAGGGTTCGATTCCTGTACCAGCCAACCTCAAAAAAAAAAAAAGTTATTAGTTACAGGGACAACATACTCCTTCCCTTTTCATATTGGTCAGCTTTAGTCATCACTGTAACAATCTGTAGGCAAATTTTAATGATTAAATGAAATAGTAAATAGATATTCTTGCCTGACTAGATATATGAATATTCTATCGAGGAAGGAATGTTAATTTTAAAATTACAAAACATGTCATACAACTTGAGATTTGCTGGTATGCATAAGGTTTAGCCAGCAGTAAGAGATGATATTGCTGACTTTGGCAGTGACATAAATCTCAGTATAGCAGAGCCACATGGAGGTGGGTGAATGCCATTTATTTTACTAACAGGCAAAATTTTCAAGCTGTAACAACATGCTCAATAAATTCTTCTATTACTGTGATACCAGAGGAGAGCTGAAAAATGTATTACGTTTCTATTTTTTCTCCTCAAAGATATATATTTGCTCTGTTTCTATAGCAACATCGATGCAGTGACTAAAACTTTAACTCCTTTTTAGACTCCCTGATGGTTTCACACAGCTTCTAAATCTGACCCAGCTGTACCTGAACGACGCCTTTCTTGAATTTCTCCCAGCCAATTTTGGAAGGTAAGAATAAGAAATTTAAATTATGCAATTTTATTTCACTTTAGGTAAGTGCTTTACCGGTGCCAGATGATGAGGCTTCAAAAGTGACAGTTGTGATTAAAGCAAAGGCTTCATTATTATTCAGTAAATGAAACTGTTAATTAATGAAACTTTCTTCAAAAAATAAAGTAAAATTAGGTCTTTAGATGGCATAATAATCAAATAATTCCTAGATGAGTAAAGAGTTAAATATTTAAAAAACAAAGCTAGAAATAATCTGGAAACAATGCAGGTGAATATTTATGGCTCTTGCATCAGAAAATAGTTTTTTAGGCCTAGAAGTAAAGAAAAATATCATAAATAGATAGATAGATTTGACAACCTAAATACTTTTAAAATAAAATAATGTCAGAAAACAAAAAAACTAAAATAAAAAATTAAACTGGGAAAATATTTCCACTATATACAGCAAACAAATTTGCATCCATAACACATAATGAATTCTTACGAACAAACATGAAGACAAAGATCACAGGGAAAAAAGGGGTGAATGACGTGCACGAGCAATTCATAAGGAAACATACAATGGCCAGTGAACCCATGAAAAATGTTTTTCCTCACAAATAATAAGTATAATACAAGTTATAAACAAGAAAGGGCCTTTGTGTTTTAACATATTGTAAAAACCATTTCTAGAGTACGAGATCAGAGATAACCTCTTGCTCTGCTAATGGGATTGCAGAATGTTATGACCTTTGTGCAGAGCCGTGTGCATTAAAAGCTTTGAAAATATTTACAGACATTGCCTTTGTAATTTATTTCTAGAAATGTCTCATGCCATCATCAGATGTTACAGTAGAATTTATGGACATGCATATTTATTGTTATTTACAATATGAAAAAAGTGGAATCACCCATCTGTCTAGGAGACTGGTTTAAATACATCATGGTCGATCCATGTGATAGTTCTACACAGCAATTAATAATCTTGTTTTAGGGAAACTTTTATTTTTAATTCCTATGATAAGTCTAGGAGTGTATTATAACAAAATATATAAACTATGTGTCCAATAGAATATGAATATGCATGAGATAAAAGACTAGTTCTTTAGAAATGAAATTATAGCTAATTTTAACTTTTGTCTTTGTATTTTTTCAATATTTTCCAGGTGGTTGGCAATGAACTTTTTTGTGTGTATAAAGATATAGCTTAAAAGCTAGGACATTTTAAGTTCATTGTCAACTGCATTTTTCTAAATGATTATCTTTGAAATTGTTTAAATAATATACTGGGCATAACTTTACACCTATCTGTTGATAGAAGCTAGTACATGACTCAGTGGAATAATGAAGTCACTTAACATGTAGCAGATTCCTTTTACATACAGAGAGCACATCAACATTTCCCAAATTCCTTTACTTTTGCAGATCATAATATCACAACATCCATGAACACCATGTACTTGAGCAGTTTTTCAAATTCACAGATCTTCAAATGAGCATTTACCTGACTTCTAAATGGATTGGCACTTCATGATTCATCTACATGAACTAGCGCGGTCCTTCTGGTACTGACCACGACACTACAATATGTTTTTGATTTATCAAGTCAGAGAATAGTTAATTATCCCCCTAAAATACTGTTTTTTTTTTGTCTTACATCTTTGTTAGTTCTCTTTAAGTAGTCCTAATATGAGGAAGAGGTTTGGGTAAACAGAAAACATAATACCAATACCAAAACCACCTGGAATTACAATTTAAATTTTGTGTAAATTATTTGCCAAAAATATGCTCTATTTTATTATTATAATCTAAAAAGTTTTTATCCTTCAAATGGGTAGTTTAATAACAAAATAAACCACTTCAGATTCTTTCCACAACCTAAGATTCTCTGCTCCTAAAAGACAAAATCAGCCACAAAATATCATCATACTAGTACAATTTTTGATAAATTTTGAGATATATTAATGTTTGAGAAACCTCTTTACTAGCAGCATTCCCATGCTCTAAAGAACTGAATCTCTTTATTTTACATGGATGTTAAGAGTTATGAGATTAAAATTAGATTGGAAATTTGATAGCAGGCAAAACAAAAAAGGGTGGAAAAGAGACCTAGATGAATACCTAAAATCACAGTAAATATTGGAGATTGTAGGTGAAATAGTTCAAATAGTGAAGTCCCAAGACATTAAGAATTCAGAGAATACAATTAACATCTGTTCTAAAGAAGTTTCATCAGAGTATATTTTAAAGGTCAGTATAGACGTGAATAACAATAATGTGTCCCAGACTGCAAACCTCAACAAGTAATTAAGTGTGTAATGTATTGTTAATCACAAATGTCACCAAGCAACAGGAACTATGAACACCTTATCCTCTTCATGTGATTTCCCCAATCCCAGCATTGTCACAGGAAAGATCATGCCACCGAATTTTAAGTGCATACTCTTTTCAGAAATATTAAAATGTTCACCTTAGTCAATGAAATACGATATGTTATAGCACTTCTTCCATTTGTAATTAATGAAAATAGTAATAGCTAATACTTATTAAAACCTATGATATACCAGGAATTATGCTTTACATATATTACATCATTTAATATTTGAAACCCTATAAATTTGGTACTGTTAACACACATTTGTAAATGAGGAAACTAAAGTTAAGAAGGGTTCATTAATTTGCTCAGTGTTACAGAGACAGAATATGAAAGAGTCTTGATCTCACACAGATTTGTTTTACCATAAAGCCCTCTGTGCTATATTATTTGCTTTTTAAACTAATCTATAGTTTCTTGAGGGGAAGTATTGCCATATTCTAGTGAACAATGCACCTGGTATTTAGTATATATTCAGTAATCAAAAACTAAACAACAGTAAATGTATTTTTGTGAAATATATGAAATTCAGAAGACTGGATTCAAAGATACCTTTGAAATATCTTCATTATCTTTAGGAAAAAGATATTTGTCATTGCCCGATTTTGACACAACCCTACTCATAATCAATTTGTTTTTTTTTTTTTAAATTTGTAACCAAGTAATGAATGTTTGGACATAGCTATTTAGATAATGATAAGGATAATTCACTTTACTATAGGAATAATTTTTTATATAGAAATATTAAGAAGTAATATTTTAAATTCATTTCTATAGACTTGTTAAATTGCGGATCTTGGAGCTAAGAGAAAATCACTTGAAAACTCTACCAAAGTAAGTGACTGGGTATTTTCTAAATCTTGAATTGTGATTTTTTTCACTAGTAGGAAAAATGACTACTTTTTTTTATTTTGGCTGTGTTTTGCCATTTTGATTGAGTTAATTATCCTACAAATTTTTCCAAAAGGATGAAAAGTATGGTGTTCTATAAAAGATTCATGTTGAATGAAAACGTATCCTGTCTTAAAAAACTTTATAATTCCAAGTAAAGGTGGGAAGAGACCATTTAAGGTACTTCTCATGGCTGAAGGATGATACATATCAGGAAATTATTGCACAAAACCTATGAAATTGCCACTTTTATAGCTGAAAAATAACAGTTTTACAGGATTTAACCTAGTAGGATGCATAATTTTTCAAGCTAATTTATGGATTTTGATTTTTTTTAGTTTTTAAATCCAGAATATGCCAGAAATACCAAGTAAAAAAGATTAAAATTTTTCAAGAGATCCTAACGTGGATCTCTTGTCAACAATGTTATATTTATATATTCTTGCAAATTGTTCCTTTTTACTATTTAAAATATGGCTTGTATATAAATACAGGATATTTTAAAGTAAAAACTAATTCTCAAAATTTTATGTAATGTTCAATTTAATAAAATGCTATGTTTCACCCTGCTTTGCCTTATTCATGTTTAACAATAGAATTTTGTGTTGTACAGAAATAATTATTTCTGAAAATTGAAAATTATTTAAACTGGATTTTTTTACTCAAATAAATAAGTATGACTTGTATATGCTATGATTAAAATATTGAAAGTACTATGTTGCTATTATTACCCTCCTGCAGTATTACAGAAAAATATTGACTATAGTGATTAATTTATCAAACATTTCAGAAGGACTTAGAGACCTTCCAGTGCTGAACCAAAGCTTAATTTTATTTTTTGCTTTTTAAATCCTTTCCCTAAACAAATTAGACTGAATTTCGTTTTTCAATTGATATGTCAATAAAATATTTTCAAGTACATTTTTTGCATATCATTATGTATAAAAATTTTGTCATTACAATAAAATAATAACATACCTGTAGTAATAAAAACTTTCAATAATGACATGGATTCCATTTAAATACACGCACAGAGAAAATACATCTTTTCATTGCACCATAAGTGGAAAACAGAGAACTTGGAAAGGAGGAAATGTTCCCACATCTTGATACCCTGTACTTTTGAGCAATGCCTTTCCCTAAGCCAAAGTATGGTGCATGGGCCAAACCCAAGGCTCCTGTCTCAGGCTGAGGTCATACACAGAGGTGGGAACATGGTTGAAAGTGTTGTTTGTTCAAGCATCAGTCTCCCGCAAACACAGCTAGTGCCACTGTTTCCATTCCTACTGCTTTTGTTTGCCACATTTAATATAAAGTGGAAACATGGGTAAGTGAAAGCTAAACCAAAATTAAGGAGAGAATATTGAGTGTGCAGAGTGAATCCTTTACCCTTCGCTCTCAAATAATGGCTTTGATTTGAAATATAAAATAAAACCGACATACATTGTCAGGTTTTTAAATGAATATTTTTGAAAGATAAATTTTACATATGAATTAAAACCTGATGTAGATAGATAACATGGACTTTACATGAAAGAGCTGTGTGAATAATTCAGAATAATGATTAACAATGCTCATACTTGGTACGTCAGTATTTTGTAGGTTTAAGACTGTGGCCCAGTGTTATACAGAATTAAAATAAGTGAAATATGGCATAAATCATTTTTGGTATAGAAAAACAATGTAAACATCTATTGGAAATGACACTGGGTCTCTTTGATAAACTGTGATGCATACATAATTTGTATAGCTGTTAACAGTGTTTACATTTCAAGAAACATTTTCAGTTATCTGTAGTCTACTGCATTATAACTTTCCGACAAAAGTCTAAAAAACCAAGTATAGGCATAAAATGTGGAGAACTTTATTTTAGTTTTAGTGTTCATAGAACAAGAATTATGGAAAGAAGTTCTGTCCTGAATAAAAATAAACTGTGATTTCACTATGTATTATATACCTTCTGATCACCGATCTAGACCTGCAATTTAGAGCTATGTGAGAGCTTTCAATTTTCTTTTATTTTGCACTTCTGAGGAAAATAAGGTAAAAATGTATTTGGGGGGAAATAATTTTTGTTTTATAATAACTACTCCAAGAAAATACAACTTATGATTTCCCCAAGGATACAAACAAGATGCCAGGTCTCTAGTGGCTCTTGAGGGATTTTCTCTTCTTTTCATTTTTTGTCTTAAAGCTTATGTGCCTGGCAGTCTCTGAAAAATGTAAAAGTGTGTAAGAATGATGATATCTGTTGAAATGTGTATCCTTTAAGCAAACTGACAGGCACATTTTGATGTATGCAGATTCTAGAATCAATTTTTTCAGATAAAAGTTTGTTTTATAAAGTTTCTTACATGTTCCTTTATGATCACTTATTTAGATATATCAAGGAGTGGTAAAATTAAATTCCTCAGATGTACATTTGCTTAAAATCATTACAATGATCAGGTCTTGATTATATGTGATAACTGAGCACATTGAACATCTGAAAAAAACTACATAACCCTCCCCTCCCCCAAAAAACCATCAGATTTCATGATACATTTTTACCCATAGAAGAATTATCCTTTTAATTATGGCTTTTGATAGGGAGAATTCAAATGAACATTAGATGTCAAGGGAAAACTTAGCCTTTGTTTATTTGTTTTATTCATTTGTTTGCTTATTTATTTCTTCCTTCATTCGTTTGTTTGCTAAAGAGTTTCTGAGAGTCAGGAATCCAGGAGAGGCTGAATTCTGGGTGGTTCTATCTCAGGGTGTCTGACAGGTTGCAGATAAGCTGCCGATTGGGCTCCAGTCATGTAAGGGCTTGACTTCTCTAGAGAATTTGCTTCTAATCTCACTCAAGTGATGATTGGCAGGTGTGCTTCTCACAGGCTATAGACTGGAGGCTTCAGTTCTTTGCCACATGGGTTTCTCCATAGGGCTGCTCTCAATGTGGCAGCTTGTTTACCCCAGAGCAAATGATGGGGGGGTGGGGGGGGGAGAGGGAGTGAGAGAGAGAACGTGAGAGCGTCCAAGACAGAAGGCTTGATCTTTTTATAATCTAATCTCAGAAGTCACTACCATGACTTCTGCCATATGCTATTGGTCACAGAGACAAAATATGGTGCAGTGTGGAAGAGAATGACATAGGGGTGTGAATACCAGGAGGAAGGGATTATTGGGGGCCATTGTAGAGGTTTCTACCATGCCAGGTCTGGTGCTCAGCATTGCTGGTCTAGAAATTCAGTTTAGGCAGTAGACCAGATACTACATATGCAGGAGGCTGACTCACACAAATCAAATTCATAGGAGATGTTATCTTGGCACAACACTCCCTCTTTTCCATAACTGTTCAGCTATATTTGTGCTCCTTCTTAACAAAACGAGTTTGTTCCTTTTGTGGAGCTTTTAGACTGGCTGTTTGTCTATCTGACTAGAATCTCTTAGCACAAATCTTTGCATGATTAGATCTTCCTTATGATTCATGTCTATCTTTAGATGTTACCTCCTCAGAGGCCTTTCCTGAACACATCACATAAAATTGTCCCCTCTCAGTCTTTATACCATTTCACTATTTCATTTGATTTTCTTCATAGCACTTATGGGTCTCTGAATGATTTTAACTCTTTGTTTACTTGGAGATTATTTCCTCAGGATAATGTAAGCACCATTAAAGAGAGGGTTTTTTTTTTTTTTTTTTTTTTTCTGTTTTGTCACTGTTGGATCTCCAGTGCCCCAAACAGTGCCTGAAATACAGCAGACATTCAATAAACAAACCAGAATGCTGATTTATTGATTCACAATGTGAAATGTGTGTCATGTGACATGGATATTCTGTGTCACTTGGTTATTTATCCCTATAGAAAATTATATAAGAAGCCAAATATTATACTCAATGAGTCTTTGGTGAGCATCTGAAGTCAGACAAGGACAAGTGTTGGAGTTCTCGATAACTGATCTCCCAACCCTGAATTTTAAACCTACACACACACACACACACACACTCCCTCTCTCTCTTTCTCTCAGATGTTTTCCAGTTAGACATAGTAGTTAAGGCATGACAAGGTAGGAAAATAACTTAAAATTAAGAAAATTAATATTTATGATAACTAAAGAAAATCCAAAAGTAGTATAACATTTGCTTTTTTTTATTAAAATGTGACACACTTAGTCAAGAAACAGAATATATGTCAAGATAAAAATGAAGGGATGAGTGATTTTTTAAAATAAAATATAGAAACTATTTCTATAGAACTAACATAATAGCCTGTAAATGGTTTGTAATAATGGTGGATTTTATCTTTAAATAAAATTGTTCTGTATTTGTGAGAAAAAAATTTCTAATACCTTAAAGTTAAAATAAGGCCTCATCCATTAACGATTTATTAAGGCTATGGCTAAGTTTGTTTCAACTTGAGCTAAAATATATTATGTAAATTCATATATAATAGTTGTGAAAATATGAAGTAATATGGAGAATAGGAGGCATAGATTAAGCTAATACTGATGTTCATGTCTGTCCTGCCTCCTAATGCACAAGGTTTTTTTTTTTTTTTTTTTTTTTTTTTTTTTTTTTCTTTTTCCGTGTCCGGCAACGGATCGCAACCCTCAGTGTTGCCCCCGTACCGGACCAGGGACCGGCAACGGGATCGCAACCCTCGGCGTTACTTCCCAAGCGGCACACTATCCAGTGTGCCACCGGGCCGGCCCCCTAATGCACAAGGTTTGAAGTGAGAGACCTTGGTGTTCTTTTATAAAACTGAGAAGAATGTTTCAAATATGTTCCTGCAGGATCACTGTAGCAATATCTGTAAAGCCTGATGAATATATACAAAACGGGAAAAATGGATGAATTTGGTGGATAAAGAACTTTAAGAGAGTTGGAAGAAGGGGTTTAAAAGGGACAGGTGATAAGTCAATAGTAGTGACAACCTCACTTGGGTCATGTACCCTTTAAG